TATATATTTCCTCCTCAAGGTCACCATTCAGAAAAGCGGTTTTCACATCCATCTGGTGAAGCTCAAGATCATAATGAGCCACCAAAGCCAAAACAATTCTAAGAGAATCCTTCTTTGAAACAGGAGAGAATGTCTCTTTATAGTCAATGCCATCTTTCTGAGTGAAACCTTTAGCAACAAGGCGAGACTTGCGTCTCTGGGGTTTACCTTTCGAGTCGCGTTTAGTCTTATAGACCCATTTGCAACCAACGGTTTTAAAACCATCAGGCAACTCTACTAAGTCCCATACATGATTGTCACTCATAGATTTCATCTCTGATACCACATGTTATTTTATTTTATGATTCCAATTATGAATCAACACCAAGATCTAATTTAGATTTGCCTTAATTCAATCCTAACATGTTTCTAGAGAAAAGTAGAAACACTAACCTTGATCCATGCTTGGATGCAATCCCACCAATTGATGTTTTCCTCTTTAACCTTCTCTTTGGTGATTTCCTTGATGGAAAAGAAATCACAAAGTCTTCCTTAATCATCAGTATTCTTATTGTGTGTGACTCACGTTTTTCCTTACAGTTTGAAGATGTTGTACGAGAGACACTTTTATATTAATCAAAGAGATGTGTGTTTTAACCAACACAACTCTTTAAGACCAAATCACAACTCTTCGTACTACACGTATACACTCACATATACATTAATAATGATAATGTATTCCATTATCATTTCCTTTAACATATATATATGATCAAGAGATTAAAGACATTTATAAATATAAGGTAAAGTAGGAGGGTTATCAATACACCCATATTCTAAATCATTAATCAAAACCGATCCATCACGGTATTATCTTTTATATTAGAATCTATAACCATTAATATGAACTTGAATTTTATATTAAACCAATAGATACATAGGTCACATAGAATATAAAATATTCTTACAGAAAGAATCGGAAGATCTCTGGTAGAAGGAAAGCTTGAAATCTACATCTTTAAAGTCTAATACATTTCCTGCTTGGGCTAAAACTGTTAGTGAATGCGAATAGAACTTCAGTTTTAAGAATAGTCGTAATGTATTTAGTATTGAGAACACCATAGTAGCAATGAAAACCTACAGTAGTGTAGTTTTTTCTTATATAGTTTTAAAGATTTGATATAAAATTTATCAAAGTTAAGTCCATTATTTGTGTTAAAATATAAGATATAATAATGTTGTTTTGTATTTTAGAAGTAAACAAAAGTGTATTATGATACTAAATTCATAAGTGAAATTAAGTAATAAAAACATAAGGTCACGCAAATTTAGTTTGCTTTAAGCCTCTCAACTATTAGGGACGACACTTCCCGTGACATACAATGAGCTTTTATGTAAACTAGGGTCTTTTCCGCGCTACGCGCGGATTATATTCTATTATACACTATAATTTATGTTACATATATTTCTTGTATTGTTTTTATTGTATATTTGATGTATTGGTTTCATTTCATTCGGTAAGAATATATCATAAAATTCATAAATGTTTCCAAATTTAGAGAATGAATTGTTTCATTTAGAACTTTAACAAAGGTTTAGTATGTTATAGTATTATATGACATCATATTATTGTTACTCTAATTTTTTGAATAGTTGTATATTCACTAAAAATTGAATTTTAAATGGAAGTAACCCATAGGAAATTGAATATGAATTTATTTTCCGCATAATATAGAAAAAATGATAGTATGTGACCTCCTCGGTTTTAGTTTGATTGTATTTGTACAATAAAATTTTTGTTTCAAGATAAATATCGATTTAAAATTTTAATGCAAAATTTCTTAACATTATTCTCCTGACAATTTTTCTATTGATTGAAATATGGTTAGGTGTATATGTAATTAATTTTATTTTTAAAATAAATAAATTAAACTTTTTCATAATCTATGCGTATGACCTAGACCGAAAACTAAAATGAAACGAATGGAGTATATAATAATTTTAGGTGTTAAATTATTCTCTTTATCATTTCTATTATTAAATTGAAATATTTTAAATTGTCGTTGTTTATTCAAAATGATCCAATTTGTTGCCTAATGAATTTTGTAAAGACTTGATATGTTGTAAGAACTATAATTCTTATTTCTTTCGTTTATATTAGGTGAAGTTGGTAAATAACACCTTTGGTTGATAATGGTGTTTCGTAGAAGAAGAAAAATTGTAATTTTGTAGACAACTTGCCAGTCTTTTTCCATAAATAACATACAAAGTTTTGATTCCTTTTTTGATAAAAGAAAGTTAAGAACTTGTATTTTTGGTAAAATAAAATTAATATTTTTGGTAATGATTATTACATAGTGATTTCTTAAATTTGTGAATTTCACTTTTTGTTTGTTGTTTTTTCTTATATTCTTATTTCCATATTTTTTAGCAATAATCAAACTGGTGTTAATTATTAATTTTTACATTATTTTAATATATGAGAAGTATAGTATTGTAATAGGTTTTTGAATTTTTTTTATCCCAAACACTATATATTCATCAAAAATGAAAATAAATACATTTTTAATTGTGTATATCTATATTTTTGGTTGTTTGTTATTTGTCATATGTCATTTTATGTTACTTTATACTTGTATCTGCTTTTACATGATTTCAATATTTTAGTTTTACATTATCTTTATAGATTGTTATATATAGGAAGAGGATATATGTTGGAAGCTTATATACATAAAAAATATATATTATAAAACCATACATAAAATAACTTTCTATAAATTAATAATTTATTTTATTTTTTTGTAATAGAAATTAAAAGTGTCTAAACCACACAAATCCATTACAAAATTTGAAATTTTAAACAACTCAGATAAAAATATAATTGTTTAATGTCAAAAATGTAGGCAATTATTTCACTCATTTTCATTTCTCCATCAATATAATTGTTTAATGTCAAAAATATAGTTTTATAATTCAAATTCAATTTTACTTTAAACCATTACCTACCATTGAACTATAAAAAGAAAAGCTCATGTTTAGGTAAAAGAACAATATTTCATCATCACTCTAACACGTAAAGAAAAGCATTCATCGTAAACCAATAGTTTTTATAACAAACAAATAAAAAACTTGAGAACTACCTTGTTAAATCTTCTGGTTCTAGTACGAAGAAGTAAGATAGCAAATATGAAGTATACATGAGGTGAGAATGACAATTAACTATCCCAGGGAGAGAAATGGGAGTGCCAACATCAACATACTGAGAGGTGATCAAACTGCATACAGTCCAAGCAACAGGGCAGATCCAATAGGACCATATCCACCACTTAAGAATCTTGGGTTGGGATGAAGAAGCCAGAGAATAGATTTAAAATACCATAAAAGGCTGATGCGAAGATAGAAGCAACTTGCTGGTTAGGTGTGAGTGAGACAGTCATCATGCCATAGTAAGTCCAGTAGAGGAATGAGAAGTAGTTAATGAAGAGGAGCCATAAGAACTTGAAGCTTTCCACTCGAATCCAACCACCGTGTAGACGATAAGTGAATAGTACTTGGTCTGAACAAAGACATATGGTATCTCACAAGTCACTTGAGAGATGGCGTAAGGTATTGCTGAATACATCCCCTGCTGCTTTCTCTCGTTAAAACACAGTACGCTCCACTGCAACCATTGGTTGCACTGTTGAACACTGCTGTGTAGATTGCTTCTAACACCATCGTCAGCTCTCGTACGTTTGATCTCTTAACTCCTATTTGCCAAAAGACGGTACCGATTAAAAGATATATTGTTGTGTTACTCACTGGCATAAAGAAGAGTTGTTGTATAGCTCAGCAAAGTCAACTCCAAGTTTCAACTCGGCGGCAAGGGAGCTAGCTTCAAGCATCCAAGTGGCCGGATTGTACTTTTCAGGAATCTTTTTTTTGGTAATAAGCATGTAACCAACAGCATCAATCTCATGTATGAAAACGATTGATAGCAAAGATCATCAACAACTCTGAAAAAGCTCTCTCACAAGCGTGGGACCATCTCCCAAATATTTCTGAATCAGTTCACTACCAACAACTCTCAAGAAAGTAGTTGATGTAGAGTTAGCCACCGCCTGGAAGAAAACAAAGATACAACAGCTCACTCCCACATGGTTCAAAAGTAAAATAATAACATGCACGTTGAAACAACACTTGCATGCTTATTACAAATAAAAAAAAGTCGGTAAACGAATCCAAATGATTCAAAATATCATTATTCTATTCTGGCTATAATTTAATTTCTAAAATCCAAGTGACCATCACAATAAAGGTTTGGCCGTCTGAAATATTTCTGCTTAGAGCTAGCCTCACAATTGTTTTTCAGATAGATAACAGAAAGAATTATGTTGCAATCAGAGAGACTCTCCTTGGCAGGCTACTCTAGATTCAACTCAACAAAACATTTAATGTTATTGAAACTTAAATAGGACACTAAGCAGTACTCCTAACAGATGCTAATACTTTCTATATTATAGGTAGAAAAGCAAACCATAGCAAGCAGTGTCTTCCCAGTTCCTGGCTCACCATACAAAATCACACCGTTGAGCGGTTTAATACCAATATCTTCATACAACTCAGGATGAGTTAGAGGCAACTCAACAGCTTCTTTAATCTCCTGAAACTGAGCTTCTAAACCTCCAATGTCAGCAGACGACCCCTTCTTAGCTTTCATCACAGACACCATCAGATCCACTTCATCTTTTAGAATCCCAACAACAGACAGAACCTAACACAAAAACTAATGAAACCATATCGTAATCACAACAAAGATCAAAGCTTTAAACCCTAGTCCACTTCATCTTGTTAGAAACCCAACTACATACAAAATATAACACAAAATCTAGTGAACACATATCACAAAAAAGTTGTAATCTCTTACCGAAGATAAGGATGGAGAACCTGATCACAAACACACGTTTCAAAACGATTCCAACATCATGAGTTAATGATGCAAACCATGCAAGGTATTATTATCCAACTGCAACCATACGTGGTTTTCTTAAGTTTAAAGGTAAAAAAGGGGAATTATCTTTTTACCTAACACAAAACCCAATGAACCCATTTCATTAAAATAATCATCGTTTTACCTTCTGCTAGTGAAATCGTAAACTTTGCCGGTGCTGGAGAAGACGATGACAACGATCTCGGCGTCGCAGAGGATCGAAAAAATTATAAAGACAAACGAGAACCCACCATATATATAGGAGGATCTAGGAAGGGTTAATTGACGATGAGGCGTTTTGTCGATAGAGATCGAAAGAAGAATCAGAGAGATTGAATATGTAAAACTGACTCGCCGGAATGGGTACCGTTTAGAGGCAACAAAGAATCTGGAAACAATACCTAACGGCCCGATTGTTTAAATTTATGAGAAGTAAAGCCCACCCAAAAAAGAAAACATTAGCCTAAAATAAAACAACATGCAATACGGTAAATGATTTGAAAAAACGGCATACATGTTGATTATTTGTGGTGACGTGGACAGCCTCATTTGGCTTCATTTGCCCTTTTATTTATAGTAGATGGGCTGAGTGATGTCCAACGAAAATATTGTGTTACGGATAACGGATATCTACCGTTTAATATTTTGTTACTTTGTTGGTACATTATTTTTTATGTTTAAATTTAAGATTTATGGAATTCGAAATAATTATTTTAAATATTTTAATTTGAAAAAGTTTAAATATTTTGTAATTTATAAGCTATCATAAAGAATTAAAGATTTATAGTTAGGAGCTTATGACTAAGAGGTAGAAGTTTAGGGTTTGTGATTAGTAGAATTGGAAAATATACATTTTAGACTTTTCTTTTTGGTTAGAGACTTAGAATGGTTATGAGTCAGAAGTTTAGGATTAAATTTTTTTAGTTAAGGCTTGAGAAATTAAATTTGCAAAAAAAATTTACAAACGTAGTTTTAGAATTTAGTATTTAGAATTTAAAAATTTAAAGTTTGTATTTATAATTTCTTTTCTTTTAAAATGGTGATATCCAATTGGATCCGTTTTATTGAGTCATAGTGGGTTCGGAAGACACCGGCATGTAATCTTTCCACCTTCAAAAGGCGGATAATTTTAAAACCTTAACTTTATAACTTATATCTGAACTCTAAACACAACTTTAAAACCTCAACTTTATAACTTGATTCATTTCTAGAGGCAACTCAAGAATCCACTAGAGTAGTACTGATCATTATTCTTTTGATTAATAATCATCAGAAAGTTTTTTGTAATCATAAATGTAAATTAGTTTGAGTTCTTGCAGGATACACAAGATATAGGGTTCGAAGCTCCAAGAACAGGGAGATTTCGATAACTTGTTTCGAAAGATCTTTTACCGCGGCTGAGCATCCTCATTTAGGTGTTACAGAGAATGAGTCAAAGAAAATGAGTAGCAAGCTAATCAAAAAATCAATAGTGGTGGTTTCAAGTATGTATTTTTGGTCCTGTGCTTATGTATCTCATCATAATATTTGTGGATTCCAAAAATGTTTTTGTAACAGTTGGGAAGGGGCTTCGCCTCTTCGGTCGTTGGGCTGGCTTCGTTCCGTCTTTATACCGCAAGAAAGCCAGCTAAATCTTTGGCTTAAGAAAGATCTAAACCTGAAAATTTAAATGAAGAGATTGTGGTTAAAGGTATTTTTTTGGTTCAAGGATGCCTTGCCTTATAAGTAAAAAACTGTTTTCTAGATTTCACTTCTTCTAACTTCACCAACCTGAACAAGGAACATGGCGCAGCGTACGAATGGGTGAACGGTCGATCTAAGAATTTAGGGATCTTCGAGACCTGTTCTTGGATCGATCAAGAGTTTCTTTCGATAGCTTCTTGAGACCAACTTCTTGTTTGATGAATTGAATCGAATCGAACAAGGGATAAAAGCAAAGCTCTTCTTATTAAAATCAAAACGTGTCCTAAACATAAGAACTAGTAACTGCTTAAATAGCTAATTCTATTTGACAAACCTCATAGAATTAGGAACACAATGGTAGACGTAAAAGGAAATAACAAAAATAAAGTAAAATCATAAAAACCAAAGTCAAACTGTAACGTGATTTGAATTCCTTACGTGCGCGCCAAACATAGTGATGCTGCTGCATCAGGTCCCCCGGGGTGAGAAGGATTCGACCGCGAATCAGAAGCATCGTCTTCAGGGACGGAGCGAGTAAGATATTTGACATTGAAAACATCAGCTGTGTTGACGTCGGCTGGAAGACGCAGACGATACGCATTATCATTGATACGCTCTAAAACTTCAAGGGGACCAATCTTCTTGGCCTTAAGTTTGTTATAGGCATGAGCAGGCATCCTATCACGGGTCAAGTACGCCCACACGAAATCTCCAACGTTGAACACTAGGCGCCTTCGATGAGTATCAGCTGAACTTTTATATTTTGACGCAGAAGCTTCTAAGTTCGAGATTGCTTGTTTATGGACGTCAGAAATTGCATCCACAAAAGCAGTAGCACCTCCATGCATCCGTGTACGATCAGGCAAGTTAGACAGATCCACCGGTCCACGCGGAACAAAGCCATAAACCACTTGGAAAGGGCAAAAGCCCAAGCTTCGATTTAAAGAATGATTATGGGCAAATTCAGCCTGAGGTAACTTTGAATCCCAAGTCGTGATGGCATCGCCGACCAGACAGCGTAATAGGTTACCTAAGGAGCGATTTGTCACTTCCGTCTGTCCGTCTGTTTGAGGATGATATGCTGAACTCATATCAAGAGAAGTACCCAGCTGCTTCCACAGGAAGCGCCAAAAATGGCCAAGAAAACGTGAGTCTCGATCAGACACAATAGAGAGAGGCAAACCATGTAGGCGATATATCTCGCGTAAAAACAAAGAAGCCACTTGAAGAGCGTCTGTTGTCTTTTTGCAGGGAATAAAATGGACCATTTTAGAGAAACGGTCAACGACGACGAAGATTGAATCAAAACCTCGCTGAGTGCGTGGAAGACCAAGGACAAAGTCCATGCTAATGTCCGTCCAAGGTTGAGTTGGAACAGGTAATGGCATATAGAGACCTGCATTCGAGGCGGTACCTTTAGACTTTTGACACACAACGCAGCGTTCAACAAAACGCTCAACATCACGACGAAGAGAGGGCCAAAAATAGGAGGAGGAGACCAGGTGCAAAGTTCGATCGCGACCCACATGACCTTCTTGATGGAGTTCACTGATAAGTTGCAGACGAAGACTACACGCAGGGATGCACAAACGTGTTCCGAGAAAAAGGAAACCGTCATGGAGTGAATACTCAGAAGAACGTCCCTCCGTAGCTGCTTCAAAGAAAGGACCAAAGAAGATGTCGGTGGGATACAAATCCACGAATGACCCAAATCCTGGAACAGAGGAATGCAAGACGGAGAGAAAACTGTGTCGTCGGCTCAAAGCATCGGCGACGCGATTTGAAGACCCCGAAGTATGTTTAATGACAAAAGTGAATTGTTGGAGGTAAGCAATCCAAGAAGCATGACGAGCAGACACTTTACTTTGGCTGCTTAAGTGTTTCAACGCATCATGGTCAGTGTAAAGCACAAAATCCTTGTGAAAGAGATAATGCCGCCAGTGTTTGACAGCTAGAACAATGGCGTAGAATTCAACATCGTAGGTACTGTAACGAGCTCGGGAACCCGCCAATTTCTCACTAAAGAAAGCTATTGGCCTGTTTTTTTGACTAAGGACAGCACCAATTCCTGCTTTGGACGCGTCACAATGAAGCTCAAAGACCATACTGAAGTCGGGTAGTGCAAGGATAGGAGCCGTACATAATTTTTCTTTGATTAGCGCAAAAGCTTGAGCTGCCTCGGGAGTCCAATTCAAACGACCATCGCGTATAGAATCTGTAACCGGTGCCATCAGGCTACTGAAGTGGGAAACAAAGCGACGATAGAAAGAGGCCAGGCCGTGGAAACTACGAACTTCCGTTATAGTAGTTGGTGTTGGCCAAGACTGAATTGCGGAGACCTTGCCGGGATCAACTGCCAGACCTTTATCCAATACAATATATCCAAGGAATTGTACCTCACACGAACCAAATTCACACTTCTTAAGTGTAGCGAAGAACTGATCTTTGCGTAACACGAGTAAGACATCGCGTAGGTGCCTGAGATGGTCGTCTAACGAGGAGCTGAATATGAGGATATCATCGAAGTAAACAACAACGAATTTCCCAATAAACGGCCGTAAAGACTGATTCATAACTCGCATAAACGTGCTTGGGGCGTTGGATAACCCAAAGGGCATAACGAGCCATTCAAAAAGACCCTCACGAGTCTTGAATGCCGTTTTCCATTCATCGCCCGGATTGACACGAATCTGATGATAGCCGCTTTTGAGATCAAGTTTAGAAAAGACAGTCGCTGTACCTATTTGGTCAAGCAAGTCATCCAAGCGGGGAATCGGAAATCGATACCGTACTGTAATCTTGTTGATGGCTCTACTGTCAACGCACATTCGCCAAGACCCATCTTTCTTAGGTATCAACAACGCAGGGACGGCACACGGACTTAAGCTTTCGCGTAAAAATCCTTTGTGTACGAGATCTTCAACTTGTCTGCGCAACTCTTCATGCTCGCTGGGACTCATGCGATAATGGGATCGGTTAGGTAGTGTTGCATCAGGGACAAAGTCTATTCGATGTTGTATATCCCGGAGTGGTGGTAAGCCGTCCAGTAGGTCTTCTGGAAACACGTCAGAAAACTCGTGTATAAGACTTGTAAAGGTAGGCGGGATATTGTGAAATCGGTCAGGGTTGGTGGTTTTGTTGAGTAGAATATACACCACTTGTTCTTCACGCATGGCTGCTACAAACTGTCGTTGCTGGAGAAAAAGAACTGGCTTCGGAGGTGTTGGT